ACCATTTCTTCGCTAATAGCCGAGATTGCCTTATTTTCGCCATTGTTATTGGCAGAAAATGAGCTCGAAACGCTAAGGGATCGATCGGAAAAATCGGAACCCTAGATTTGAAGAGACTCCGATTGGAAGGAATCAAAGAAAAATGGAAACGGAGGGATTGACAATGAAGCAGAAAACGAAGTAGTAAAGAGCTATTGTGGTCTGACCGACTCTGCCTGAGTCTTGAAAATGTGTTTCCATTTATACTTGACGCAAGATTTTTAAATTTCTTCCGTAAAGAGCGTGATGACAAAATTATCCCCGTGATTTTTTGAATGAGCCAATGACAATGTTGGACAGATAATTAAGATTGGACATTATTGTCATTTTGTTAATCCGTGGTTTATGACTGCAGTGGCCTTGTGGGCAGCACCAGGTTTGGCTTTGAAGGTTCGCATGGAAACCGCGTTCAGTTTTTTCTCTATTTTGGTGGAAAAAATGAACAGTGATGGAAGCGTGGAAACATGGAAACTCTAGATTCTCCATCTAAAAAAATTAAAAACGAAAGGAGAAAACGATCTTTCTATGAGACAGGATTTGTATAAGAATGTTGGGCTGTAGCCATAAATTCTATGATATTTTAATATAATAAAAATATATAAAATATATTTAAAAAATAACACAAATCAATCATAATTATTAAAAAAATTAAACTTTTAACTTTAAATGATGTGGTTTTATTTAATTAAAATTTAATTTAAAACTTAAAAATTTATTTTATTAAATGTTAGTATCTATATCTAGAAACCAAATTTTTAATTTCAAATTTAAAAATTCATTTTCTTAAATATTGATACATGAATTTGAAACAAATTATATTAGAATACATATTTAGTTTTTAAATATAAATAGTAATATTTGATAAAATAAATTTTTAAATTTTGAATTAAGTTTTAACCGGATAAAATAATATCATTGAGACTTAAAATTTTCTTTTAAGAATCAAGACTGATATTTATATTTTTTAATATATCTAATTTTTATTGTAATTAATATTTCATAGTATTTTGGGATACTCCAACCAAAGTTACCAAACCTGTGAGTTATGCCTATTGGGCTGGGAGAATGAAATTTTGGAATGCCGCAAGCCCACAACCTTTAGAAATCTTGAGATGAACGGGCCCATCTGAGGCCCGTGCTGTCCCTTTTTTCTGTTTATACTTTGATGGAGGGACAGAAACAGAAGTCACAGAAGGGAAGACAACTGATTCTGAACAAATAGAAGGAAAAAATAAAAATATGAATTTAGTTTTTTTT